GAGGCTGAAAATTCTATCGGAAAAAGTTAATTACAGTCATTAAGGGCAGCATCATCTGGTGGGTGGTTACAAGTGGCTTGTGTTCAATTCCTGCCTCCATCAATTGATTACTTAAGACAAATAAAATCTCCATCTCAGTGTCTCCAACTGCCTCCTGAGCCCATTTTCTTACTGTGAGCACAGACAGGGGTCACACGTTGTGAGGGCACAGGTGAGAGGTGTTACCTCAACCTCCTTACAAACACCAAAAGCTCACATGGCTATTTTAGGCTGGAAAGCTCTGGCCAACCCCAAAAAGCCAAGCCACTATTCATGTTCTAAGAGCATTTGTGAAGATTTGGAGATGGAAAAAACAGATCAATGACAAAACAAAAATGCAGATGACACAGAAGATACAAATAACACTTTTAAGCATTATTCAAGTAATTTAAAAGCCAAAGTCCAATTAAAAACATTTTAGAGACTTTAAAAACAAATTAGCCTCAGATTTTTTAATTACATACCACTTGTTCTTCTCAGCTCGAGCTGGCTTGGATCACAAAAATCCATTTCACTTTCCATCTCGTACATTAGCACAAGATTGTAACATTCAGATTTGGAAAACATTTCTCAGGTTTATTTATATATTTAAATGTCACCCAGGAGAGCAAGCACACTCACTTCTAAATAAAACCTTACACTGTCTTGGCTCAAAAGTCATAGTTTAAGCTAAAATTTCTAATCCAAGTGGCAGGTTCCTGGCTGCATTCAGCAGGTGAGCAACAGGTACCACCTGCCCCAGATCCAGGGGCTGGCTTGGTCATTCCAGGACATGGTCCCGCTTCTCTGCATACATATCATACATGCCTGCCCCTGCTCTACCCCTTCCATCTCCCCACGCTGACTGAGACACCTGATGTGTTCTGGTTTCAGCACTAACGAAGATCAGGACAGCGGAGTGGGGCTCAGGAGCCTCGGCCATTGCAACAACTTTTGAGCTGAGCTTTGATCAATCCTGCTCCCCTGCTGCCGCACCCGGGGAGGGGAAGGAGCAGGAGGGCAGGTACCTGCTCAAAATACTTGCTCTCGCTGTGACGGATGAACATCACAGCTCCGCTCTCGTGTAAGAACAGGCACCACACGGCCGTGACACGGTCAGTGCCACCGGACACGGCACCGGGGGAAAGGGAGCGGGGCCGCTCTCCCGGCGGGGAGTCCCGAGGTCCCAGGCATGTGCACGGCACAGGCACCTCCTGCCACGGCACTCGGGACCCTGGGCAGGAGCTGCTCCCGCCCGGTGCCATCGCAGGACCTCTGTCTGTCCGTCTGTCTGTCCGTCCGTCCTGCCGAGCACCCGGTGAGGGGCACCTTGCGAGGGAGCCCAAGTGCGAGCGTGACCAACCCCTCGGTCCCCGTCCCTCGAGCACTCGGGGCTCACACTGCCCGGCCCGGCCCCACAGGAGTGCGCGGGAACCGCCGAACTCACCCTGCCCGGGGCAGCGCCGGACACGGCACCTCTGCCAGGGCTCTGCCTGGGAGCCGGCTCGGCTCGCCCACGGCGACCTCAGGAACACGTTTCTTTACCGCCGATTCCCCCCTTTCTCCTCTAGAGCTCACAGCTACGGAAAGGTCCTAAAAACCGAGTACTACGGGGAACGCACCCTCCGGGAAAGGGAGCCGGGAGCAGGGGTCGGTGGCAGCTCCTGCCGCAGCTGCAGAGCCACATCCCTTCTCCAGCTGCGCCTGGGAAAAGCCCCCAGGCGCTCCCCGGGCAGCACCGCCCCGACAGCCCGGGAAGGGTGGCACGGACACCCCATCGCCTCCCGCGGGGACCGGCCGCGTCCGCCCGCCCCGAGCCCGAGGCTGCTCCCTGCAGGGACCCGCCGAGCGCGGGGCTGTGCCCGCCGCGCAGCCCCGGCCGCCCCCGCCCTCACCTCCTTCTTCACGTTCCACAGCAGCTTCTCCTTCGCGGCGTCCGCAGAGCCGCTCATGGTGGCGGCTCCGGCCTCAGCGCGGGCGGCAACACCAGCCCGGGCCCGCCGCCATCTTCACCGCGGCCTGACGTCACCGGGGGCGGGGCCGCGCCGCACGGCCGCGGGGGGGCGCTGAGCGACGGGCGGGACCGCGTGAGGGGACCCGGGATGGGAGAGATCGAGGGATGGGAGAGATCCGAGGGATGGGAGAGATCCAAGGGATGGGAGAGATCGAGGGATGGGAGAGATCCGAGGAATGGGAATGATCCAAGGGATGGGAGAGATCCGAGGAATGGGAATGATCCAAGGGATGGGAGAGATCGAGGGATGGGAGAGATCCGAGGGATGGGAGAGATCCAAGGGATGGGAGAGATCCAAGGGATGGGAGAGATCGAGGGATGGGAGAGATCCGAGGGATGGGAATGATCCAAGAGATGGGAGAGATCTGAGGGATGGGAGAGATCCGAGGGATGGGAGAGATCCGAGGGATGGGAGAGATCCGAGGGATGGGAATGATCTGGGATGGGAGACATCCAAGGGATGGGAGAGAGCCAGGATGGGAGAGATCCAAGGGATGGGAGTGATACACGGGATGGGAGAGAGATCCCAGGATGGGAGTGATCCCAGGGCACGGGAGCTATTCCCCGGGACATAGATCCACCCTGGCCCGTCCCTGTCCTGTAATCCCAGCCTGGAGCCGATCACAGCACCTGGACACACACACAGGTGTCCCTGTGATCCCACAGCACTTTTGTGCTTTAGGAATCCCAAGTCACAGGTGGGGATCAAATCACAGAAGCCAAAATATAACACTTTATTAAAAATTAGTGTTCCGTTTCCATTTAATGCACTGATAAAACACTTTAATCAACACCTAATTAATTACTGCATTAACTAAGTAATTTATCGGTAAGACTGACCCTAAAAAAGTTAGACATAAAAATAAAACAAAGACTGATGCTTTAAGAAAACAACTTGATCACAGAATGTCAGTTTAAACAAGATCAGCAATCATACTTGCTGTACTCTGGATACAAAATATTATAGAAATCCAAAAGAATCCTTTACTACTATTAAACAAATTAATACAACATCCCTCTGAGGTAGGGGAGGGTCTTATCACCACTTTATTAGATGAGGAGAAATTACACATATACAGAAAACACATCCTGCCGTGTGTGCCCGAGGGAGTGACAGAGCTGGAGTGGGACTGATGCCCACTCCCCTCCCACAGACACCTCGGCTCTGCCAACAGCACCGGGGTGGAATTTGGCTGAGAAGGTCGAATGCCAAGGATTGTCAGAAGATACAATCCAATTGTGTAGGGCAGGGCCTGCTGGGCCAGACCCATCCAGTTCAGCTCAGCTATGTTCATCAGTGTTGCCTCGAGGGAATTGGGTCTGAAAATTAAAAACCCCCAGGGGAAAAAAAAATAAAATAAAAGTCAAACCAAGCCCACGGTAAGTACTGCCCATTCCAACGCAGCTCTCAGTGACACCACTGGCCCCTGCAACGCCTTCCAGTCCCAGCCAGTTATTCTCCATTTTAACCAAGAACCGCAAAAGATAAGTCGCTGGAGTGGAACATCATGGCAGGATAAATGTCTGCTGTTCCAAAAACTAAATGTCAAGGTGAAGGTTAAGCAGTGAGTTTTGTCTCGGCGTTCCTCAGCGGCTGGAGCTGCTGGCCTGCAGAGCTCTCCCCTCTAACACTGCTGCCTAATTAACACCGATCCTGAATATCTGTTCCCCAGTCACTGAGACCCCTTCCCTGGAGAAGGACCAAGGCTGTTGGCACTGCAGCCTTTAGCACAGGACTGGGCACAGATGGCAGGGAACAGTTTCCATTCATTGCCTCAGTCTGCCTGAGTGCTCAAAGGTTTGCTTAAATTCAGGAGTGAAGAGGACAGCGAGTCCTGGAAGAATGCCAGCTCATGCAGTCAGAATTCACACCCTACAAATGAGGCAAAAAGGCCTCTCCTTCCTCCCAAAGGCTACCCTAAATTCCCAGGCACCTCATTAACACACCTATTGGTGATGGTCTACATGGGAAGTCACTACAAGTCTCAACTTGCAGACAAATGCATAAATTAGAAACCAGTATTGTCCTTATTTGTCTCTCTAGAGCCAGCAGAGGACCCTCAGCCAGTATTCCCTCGAGCAATGGGCAGCCCACTGCAAACCCACCAATGCTGCCTTTAAACTGCATCATCCTGCTCAGTGCTGCTGCTTCTCCTTTACACCAGGTCGTAAAAACATGTTCTAGAACAACCAGAACGTTCCTCTCGAAATAATTCACAGCCTTCAATCACAAAAAGGCTGATTAAGAATACAAAGCACGTGTAACATCACAGAATTATCAGAACCTGGTGGTCAGAGACACCACATCCCCAGGCCATGATTTTGGTGTGAGGTACACTCAGTAACACCCTGTGCTGGAGCAGTTCCAGACAAGCGGGACTCTCAAGAGAAACTACAGTGAAATGAAAAGGATATCTGCACATTTTTAAGCACATACATAACTGCTGACACTTCTTACTGAGATTCCACATTCCACTAACACCAAGAAGTTCCTTTGCACTTGGCAGAAGACTCTCACAACCCAGATGGTTCTCAAAACATTTTGTTTTCAAGGTTAATTTAATCTAAATTCAAATCAGAAATTAATACTACTTGTTTGCTATGGGAGACAGGGACAGAAAACCAACTAAACCAAAACACAAGCTTTTCTCTGCTTCTTACAGTGTAATAATTCACAAGTTGGATCCATTTCATTAATGACTCCTGGGAGCACAGAAAGCCTCTGGAGCAGCACATGGATCTGACACTCATTCTTTTTCACACCCTCCTTCCCATACCTGTCCTCCCCAGAGGAAATAAATGCAAATATGACATTTTTATGCTTATAACTTTTTTAACACAGTTTTGCAAGGCTACCAGCATCACTTAATCTGCTAACATTCACTATGATAGTAGCAAGAAAAAAATAATACAAATCATTTTCCAAGAAACAAGTGCCACATGTGGATTTTAAATGGCAGCAGCCTTTGTTACATAAACAGAATTTCACTATCACAAGCCTCAACAAGGGCAACCCTACCACAATCTGCTCAAGTTTGCTGACTTGAAGCTTCTTCCCTCTCCATACCCATCTCTCCATCTCCCAGGACAAGTCATTACATACATATTTAAATTTTCAAAGACTTCTCATTTTCCACAAGGGGAGGTTGCTTGATGACTTGGCTTTCGTCACTTTTGGGAGAGCTTGCCTTGGACTCGGTGACTTTTAAAGGGAGCTGCCCTGGAACACAAACCTTTGCAGGTGTACTGAGGAAAGGGGTGGGAGAAAGCACACGTGCAGTGCACCTGACTGCTGGCAGCTGGCTGGCCAACCGTTTCTCCTGGGGGTTATCACATGTAGTGTCTGCCAAGAGTAGCCACGTTCAAGTTCTCTCTTCAGTATCTCGATGTAAAAACTGCACGTTCCACCATGCGAGGCCCTGGAGGGGCAGGTGTCTGGAGAAAGCTTCTCAAACCGCGCCACCTCACTGCTCGCAGGAAATGGGAAACCGGCGAGTTGTTAGAGAGGAAAGCAACCCCAAACTGAGAACCAGTGTTACAAATCTCACTCCTCCCTGGCAGGCAGAGGGGACAGTCTGTAGGCAAAGCACGTGGTGCAGAACTCACACCTCAGTTCTCCAAGCCTTCAGTGTTGCTCTGTGCGCACAAACGCCCATTGGCCCGTCCAGGGAGCCAAGATGCCAAATGAAGATCAATCCCCGGAGCCCGAGTGATCCCTCCCTGCTGCCTCATCCTGCTCCAAGCACACTGAGCCCAGCCTGACCAAGGCTTGCCCTGGCTCAGCACTAGTGGCCGAGCTGGCGGTCGTCGTAGGTGCTGTATCTCTTGACGTGGATGCGGCGCACGCGGTCGCGCAGCTCGAAGCCCTCGTCGTCCTCGCTGTGCGACGCCTGGCTCCGGCTCCGGCTCGTGGCCTCCAGCAGGGAGTTATCAGGAACCCGTGGGGTTTCATACAGTAAGACATTTAGTGTTTCCTCATAAATCCGTGCCTCGGGGAATTCAACCTACAACAGACAGCACACGTCCTGTTCTGACCCGCCCAGGCCAACGGGACTGGAACACAAACCCGCACGTGAAGAGACACTTGAGCCATAAAGAGACACATGGTACAAAGAGAGGGAAACAGAAATGAACAAAGCAGACTAATTCCTGGTAGAGGATTACTCCCACCACGAGGTCACCTCCCTCACCTCTTCTTTTAGATTGTTCTAGAAGGGAAAACAGTATCTCTGCTTCTTAACGCTGAACCCTAGTCACCTTGCCCGCACTAACAGAAATCAGAAGTTAACTCCTAAATTTAGGGAAACTCTGTGGATTCACCATGCTAGCCATTCACTTAAGAGCTGGACTTGATGATCCTTGTGGGTCCCTCCCAGCTCAGAACATTCTGTTCCTCTGGGATTCCGTGATTTCTATCCCGTAACAGACAGGTGGGGAAGCTCCGTTACCTTGGTTTGCTTCTTCTCGGTGGCGTAGACGATGGAGGTGCAGCACACCTCGGCCAGCTTGCGGCCCTGCCCGTAGAAGGACCAGCAGCAGATCTCATCCCCGATCACGTCCTTGATGAACAGGACTCTGCCGTTGAACCGCAGAGAGAGCTTGTCAAACAGCTCGATGTTCTTCAGCAGGTTGTCATCTGAGTTACTGAAACAGCACCAAAAGCAGGAAGAGGATTTTTCAACTGGCCATCTCTGCCCATTTTATACTCTGCTCCACCAGCTGTAAGTGCTGATCTAACTGCAGAATGCAAATAAGTAGTGACTCATTGTCATATGCTGCCAAAAAAAGAGGGGTAACAGCCCGTTTCAGATACAAATACACTGCTCTGACCCCTGTGAGCAAACACACCAGCCTTCAGGGTCAAGCTATAGAATTAATAACGGCAGCACAATGTCCCAAACAATTACATCAACTATTCACCACTCTCCTGACTGACACTCGAGGTGATCAAACCCCAGGCTCACTGCAGTTCTCTGGCTTGATCACAGCAAAAGCCCAGAGTCAGTGTGTGCTGGAAGAACACTGCTGTAAGCAAAAAACCCAAACCCCACCCAAACCAAAAGCAGCCAAGTTAGGTCATCCATCATCTTACTCCACTCCTATAGCCAAAGGGAAACTTTCACAATACAGCAGGGAAAACAACCAGACATACCTGGTGTAGGAGTATTTATTGTTGCTTCTATTATAAAGCAGCTTAACAACAGGCTGTTGGGAGAGAGAGAAAAGCAGAAAATGTAAGTTCTGTGTTTGAGTACAATTAGCATAAATTCATAGTTGTTAGGAGCAGTTACTTTCAGTGATGACTCTATCAGTCTCTCTTCCTCCTTCGGAGAGGTGATAATAGGGATGCTGCAGACTGGCTCATACAGGTCTTTCTTGTCCTGTTTCAAAAAAAGAAGAAAGAGGAAATAAGAGAGAAATGCTAAAGCTAACACTGCTGCTGCTGTCTCCTCCAGCCATGTTCTCAAATGCTGTGATGCACAGGAAAAAAAATATCTCTGGGTTGCTATAGTAACCACATAGCTTACCTTGATCTGCAACCCAGAATCACAGCAGAGATTCCTTATCCCCAGAAGGCAGCAGTAATTGAAATACTGGGATGCAGGTGGATGTCCTCAGCTATAGCAAGGACAATCTCTAGTCCTATTTGGTTTAAGTGGCTTTATTATTCCATCCTTTCTTGAAGAAAAAGATAGAGGGAGTTTGCACTAGTTTTAATCAACTCAAACCACTGCAGTACAGAACATCAGCCACTGTGAGCTGAACACTTGGCAGAACAGGGTGTCACCAACACGGCGTCAGCCCTTGGGACACAAAAGCCACAACCAAGTGTGTGCAGGACAAGCTGTGCCCTCGGATCCCTCTGGCAGCAAACTCAGAAAAGCTCCATAGCTAACATGGAAGCCTCAGAACATTCTGTTTGTAGAAGCCAGGTTTTGAATTCTAAGCCAGAAGGAAACCTGTCAGTGTGGCTCTGCACTTCTTTCAGTGACACCAGTAGTATGCTGAACCCAGTATGTGAGGTATTCAGTAGTTACTGAATTGTGTCCTGCAAGAAACATTCATTTCACAATTTTAAGACTAAATTATATATACTGTCTCTGGGCTAAGCTTATTAAAAAGTTGGAGGCTCAAATCCATTCTGCCTATAATTATTATCTAATTAGAAGTGATGTAACTTGGAGGAAATTTAGACAAATGTCATCTGTTGTAGTTTTAGTTAAATGGGCAGGATTTTCAGCGATGACTGTTTCACACCACCAGGTAACTCAGAGCTGGATCGGGGGAAGGCTGTCCCTGGAGTCTTGGGACCTGCTGGAAAGGTGGGGCCCTGGAGTGGAGCATCCCGAGAATTCAGGAGACAGGGACAGGATATCTCTGTCCTGGGGGACAGGAGCTGAAGAGCAGGCACGAGCCAGAGCTGCCCTCTCTGCAGCTGGTGCTCTGCCACCCAGAGCATTGTGGACTCTGAGTCTGTGCCAGGTGCTCAGCCAGACCCACACCAGCCCTCCAGGGTGTGTTTTAACCTGAGGGGAGGGGGGTGCCTGGGTAATATTTTCTGCTCTTTTATTTCACACCAGAGGAAATATCTTACACATCTCAGACTTGCTGCCATCTCTGAGGCCACGAAATAATCTCTAAAGTTATCTTAACTACATTTTATAGGCAAATCACCCACAAAACACTTCACAGGCTACTTCTGTTCTTACCTGCAAGGCTGCTTGGCACATGTCCACTAAGCCCTGGATGAGATAGTATTTGGCTTCTGCCATCAACTCTTTGATCTCCTGCCTGTGCTTTGGAAGTGCAATTGTGTCATCTCGCAGGTAGTTTAAAATTGTTCCAAAGTGCTTCCCACAACGGTCTATAAGGATCCAGCCTGAAAAACAACCAACACATTTCAGTCACCTCAATACTAGAGGTAAGAAAAAGCTCCTTGCAGAGCTTAAATAAGCCTCAGGTTTCCTGAAACCACAAAGAACACTCCTCCCATTTCCCCCAGTAGAAGTCTCTACTGACTGTGAGCAAACTGAAGCTTGTTCCAGAACAGAACCTGACAGTGGGACCCCTTTGGTACTGTCTGGATGTTCCCACTGCTTTCCAGCATCCCAAAAGCAAAGCCTCGAGATAAAAATACTCGGCTTCCAGCACAAGACACAAAGCTTGCTGCAGGAACTGACCTGCAGTGCTGCACTGTGCTGCTGCACAGCAGAAACCGTGCACCAAGGAAGGACCAGAAGAGAGAATTCACAAATGTTTGTAACAAGTAGATTCAAGATAAGTTCTGTGGCCTAACAAGGAGGATTTGGCACTTTTCCAAACACATCTTCTGCTGCTGTTTGGAGTTAAAGGGAGAGAAGTGTTCTGAAGATGCTAAAAGGCAGACCAGCCCAGAAAACACAGTGTAGGAAAAAAGCTGTTCTAGTCCCCAAAGAGGAGCAAAGAACACGACAGACACATCAGGAGGGAGCACAGAGGGGATGCAGCACAGGAAACAGTAGCAGACAGACATTTCTTGCAATTTTATATCCCTGAAGTCACATTCCCCAGGAAACAGGATGTCTGACTGCTGCCAAACAACAGCAACGCAGAATGCACGCAGGCAGAGGACTTAATGCAGTGCCAAACCCTTTCCCATAATGTGGAAAGCAGATAAAAAAAGTGTTATTTTGGGATCTAGGTACAGAAAACAACCTAGGAAAGTAAGCTGGATTCTCACAGCTCCAACTGGAGAATATGACCCTTGTTTTCCATTCAGGCT